GGAACGGGAATGACGTCTACGACCACGGCAGTCAGGCGGTGGACCATAGTTGGGAGACGGAGGGTGACCAAAGGCAGGTGCTCCAATGCCGACAGCTGGATGTCCTCCATAGCGTCCATGAAAATGCCAGGCGAAATCGGGCCCAAGATTGAGTCCAAAATTAGGTCCGTGGTGGGAGCTATGACGACCGTGATGCGGTCCGTGATGCGGTCCGTGATGGGGATTTCCGTGATGTGGTCCATGATGTGGTTCGTGATGTGGACCGTGATGGGGATGTCCATGATGTGGTCCGTGATGGTGGTGTCCATGACGCCCTTCACGCTTGTTCTTCCTCTTCTTTTTCTCGTCATCGGAGCTGGAACTCGAGCTGGAGCTTGAGCTAGAAGAAGTGCTAAATCGAATTCCTTCTCCACGACACTGCTTGCGGCCACCTTTCTTCTTCTTGTGGCTCTTCTTCTCGTTGTCCGAACGGCAGCTGGAGCTGGAGCTGGAGCGTTTGCCATGACGGCTCCGGCGACACGATCTACCCTTGCGCCCGCGTCCGCGTTCGCACTCGCTGTCCGAGCTGGAACTCGAACTGGAACTGGAGCTGGAGCTCGATCGATCTACTCGACGGTCATGTGAACCACCCTTGTGGCCATGTCCGTGTCCGTGTCCACGTCGCTGATGCTCTCCGTGCTGATGTCTACAATCTCCACGGCCTGGTCTAGACATCGATCGCCTCCTTCTTGCCGAGCTGTGTTCCAGGGCCCACGGCAGGCCCGCTGACCGAAAAAACCGGCACTGCTCGGGCCAAGGTGCCAGCCAAGCGGCACGGCGATCGAATCCGGCCGGACAGGCAGCAGCCCACTCGCGTGGGCCAAACCCATGGGAGACAAAATTCTGAGGTCCGAAATGGTGGTGACCGAAATGATGGGGTCCGAAATGATGGACCCCATGTCCATGACGACGATGTCCATGTCCGTGGCCATTACCGTGGCCGTGGCCGTGGCCGTGCCCGTGATGGCGATGGCCTCCATGACCGTGTCCATGACCATGGCCATGACGTCCATGAGAGCGACTGCGAGATCGAGAACGATCGCGTCCATGGTGGCCATGATGATGACCGCCGTGAGGGCCATAGGGCCATCCGGCACCCCAGTGCTTGCGACCCCAGCCATACGCATAGTAGTGCGAGCTGGAACTCGAGCTAGAACTGGAGCTGGAGCTGCTCGAGGAGCTGCTCGAGCTGGAGCTGGAGCTCGACGAGCTGACGCTGTCGGAGCGCTGGCGGCTGGTGGTGGGCACCTCCTCCTCGCCGACGAGCTCCACGTCCGGCTGCTCGCCGACAGCTCCTGCGGACTTCCTGAGCTTCTTCTCCTGCTTCTTGGCCTTCTTCTTGTCCTTCTTCTTGTCCTTCTTGTGCTGCTTCTTGGACTTTTTCGGCTGGGACTTGGTACCCTCGGCGGCCTCCTCCTCGGCCAGCAGAGCCATTGCCTGCTCCAGCATGCGCTGCACCTTCGTTACCTTCTTGATCGCCTGGCTGAAGAGCTTCTCCGAGCGAGGATTGTTGGCCTTGGACTGGTCGGAGCCCTGGGCCTGCTGCGAGGACTGCGGCAGCTCCTCGTCGAAATCGATGTCGCACTCGAGCAGCTCCACGGGCAGCTGCTGACCCTGTTGGCCCTGCTGCTCCTGCAATTTCCCTGTTTCACTCATTTTGCTGTCTACCTCGCACCAATCACACGTAATTTCAGATGCTTTTTAGGGTATAGATGTATCGTATAGTAGCTGCTTCTAAAACGAGTATACTGTGGTTGTGGCTTCGCTTTGCTTTCGCTGTCGTCGCAAGCTTCGAACTGGTAAAGAACGCTCGCCGGCCGGCATCTTTTATACTCTCCCAGAAAGCTGCTTCTGACAGCTGCAGAGAGCCGTCAAAGCACTGGAGCATGGAGCATTGCTAACTGCGTCGCAGACGGCAGAAAGTGGGGGGAGAGAGCGATAAAAATAACCGACGGCGTCGGTGAATACCCCCCATACCCAGGACGCCCCAACGCCCCGCCGTCCGATTGCACGATTCGCTATCAGCTACGTGGATTTGGCGTCGTCGTTCCCGTTCCCGTTCCCGATACACGGATACACGGATACACTGACGCACCCACACGACCACACGAACAAGGCCAAAGCCAAAGCCACTCTCTGGTCGGGACGGGGAAATTTCCATCGTTTCACAACGTGATGAAATACCCCTACCAAACTATAATAATGCGGATGAGTGGAATTTGCAGCGAACGAATTACGTAAAAGCATGAAAATATAACGCATTTCATCAATATGGCGAGCTTTAAGGATCATTCCACCGAAATTTCCCATCCCCAAAAGCGTCAGGTAGTAATTGCCGTCCTTCCGATCATCTCTAAATGATTCTACATCGCTAAAGCAATTGCTAATATCAATGGATCAATTATTCATTCAAAAGAAGACATATAGAAATATTATTAGGTTGGATCATCAAGGATCATCGGGAATCGTGAGGGACAGGGATCATTAATTTTAATCAACATAAAGCTCCATGATCCCTCTGCCCAAGGGATCACTCATGCATTTACTTGATTTTAAGGAAGGATCAACAGATCAAAAGCAATGCTCCATGATCCCTCTGCCCAAGGGATCACTCATGCATTGACTTGATCCAATTTCAACATCAAGATAAATGCTCCATGATCACTTTGTTATATTGATCACTCATGCATTTAGTTGATCATATTGCTTCTATAATCCCGTCTTAATGGACCAGGGATCATTGGGAATCGTGAGGGTCCACACACTGTTTCGGGATCAGGCAGGGATCAGTCATTTTAATCAACATGAAGGCTCCATGATCACTCTTTGAAAGGGATCACTCAGTCCATTTAAAAGTTCACAGCATAGACATATCACAAATCAAACTCATGGATACATTTTCTCTTATAAGAGATATTTTTATTAGTTCATATTTAGCTTTATTTTCACACACCAACCTTCAAAGGGGCTGAACTTATTCTTGTTGATCAGTATACATAATATCCATCACAATATCTCTAAAATTACTTCCTATTTAGCTTCATTTCACAGATGAATTGAAATACACTAGGAACCGCAGTCTACTAGATGTAGATCTCTCATTGATGGATCCTCAGATCATTTCACAATTAAAAGAACATATTCATTCTCTTCAGTATCTTTTTATCAGGTAAATATCACACAGGCAGATCACAGAATTGAGATCTTGCAACGTATTGTATTTTAAGCACAAATATAAACACAATGGAGTGATCTTCTCCCTTACAGATTCCCAAATACAATACCTAAAAGAGATATTTACTGGCAATTCTTTTCGGAAACTTTAGAGATCACTTGTTCGCATTGGTATATAGCGATCACACAATCGGAACTGGGCAACGCAACACACAATTTAGATCGACACGTATGAGTTCTTCATACGAAAAACTTCTCTTCTTCCACTTGACTATGCGAATTTCATCATATCAGAAAATAGAGCTTGGCCGTTTTTGTTGTAAAATCTGCATTCGTGAGTCACTCACAACATATCTACATATGTGCATATGTATGTGTTCATGAGCCACCATCATACGATATTTTGTGGTCTGGCTCTGGTTTTGGGTCTTGTTCTGGGTCTGGGGCCAACTTAAACACAGAAAACATAAAAAAAAGTGAACCACTGGGATTTATTTTTCAGGCTTCAACTGGGGCCCACGGTAGCTTCACGACTGATCATCAGAGTCTAGTCGGAGGGGAAATTGAGAAAATGGCTTCAAAAAACAAGCATAACCGGTTTCCATCATCATGTGAGTCACAGATGGACGAGCAGGGGGTTTATGGGTTTGGGGGTTTGGGGGTTTAAGAGGTGGGGTTCAATGGCAGGAACAAGGACAGGGGAGGGCAGGAACAAGGGCAGGGGAGCGCAGGGCTTGAGATCAAACACAAAATCATTTATTAGCAAATTTGCATGAAATCTGCTTTGTATATTTATGTATATATATACATATATGTATATAGAGCGTTTATATGTATCTCTGGCACTGGGCACTGGTCTTTATTCATTTATGTATTCTTCAACATTTATTGATATTCAATAGACTTTTGTTCTACTAAATTTCATAATTTTGCAATTTTTCTTTTTTTACTTTTGGTTTTTTTTGAACACGTTGCCAAATTGAAACGAAAAACTATACTCGGGTGGGGAGCAGCTGCTCTGGAGCGGGTGGTATCGTCAAATGACAAATGAAATCCCCTCGAAGGGGACAGAGTCCAAAAAGCCCCACGTAAGCCCCAATTGAGTGTAAGCTCCCCCAATTGTGTTAATGAGTCTCAATGAAATCGGAGCGAAAGAGCTTCTGGGAGAGAGAGCCAGAGAGCGAGGCTCTCTGCTCGCCGAGTGGTCTTCTCTTGCTGATAAAGACTCGCGAGAGCGAAAGCTTTGAAAGACCCGTCCCGACTGATATAGGGAGAGCGAGAGATTGCTGATTGGGAACACCTTGGTTCACATTTATGGCACCATACATAAGACAATTGAGATCTTTAGAGCCGATTTGTATTGTTAACAAAACACCATAACATATCGACAGGCTTCAGACAGGACTTGGACATATGCCATTATGAAAGCTGAAAGGCAAGACTCATATACGATCTTCTCAAATGCCATATTGTAAGGCAATGCAAAGACCCTACCAAAGCAGAAACGCCGCCATAATTTGGAATTCTGGAATCATAACAATAAAGCTATTGAATCAATATATTGAGTTATTTATTGGAAATCAAGTATTCACATACACATATATTTAATAAATAAAATAAGTCAATTTGGTCGTATGAGGAGGAATAAACCCTTTGAATATAATATACCCTCCAGAAAGACTTCGAAAACAATCCAAAAGTAAAGATGAATATCATCGAAGTACCATACCATAAGAGCTCTACTTACATATACATATGTATATATAAGAACAAAATATACACATAAACATGTTCAGAATTAGGATCTTGAAAGTTGCAACAACAGGTTCCATTTAAATGAGAAAAAAAAGGCTTATTCTACTTATCCCATCAGCAGAATTCGATGTACATGCATACAGTATATTGTATTATTCCCAAAAATGTTCCACACTCGTACTCCGATTCAGAGTGGAGGTCCTATGTTAGCGACGCGCACTGTATGTACCCCTTTAGTACAGGCATTTCCTAGATGCCACAGATGACCTTCAGATTGGGCAGGTTCTGGGTGTTGCGGCAGTAGCGCTGCCAGCCATTCCAATGACGAAACCCGTCCGTGGTCTGAATCCGCTTGGCACAGACGGCCGCCTCGATCAGATTCTCATCGAGGAGATCTACAAAAGAAGCGAAGTGTGAGGAGACATATTTCTACAATCCACTATCGAGACTGTCCTCCAGACCTTCGCACTTGACGTTGCAAATGCCACCGCGTCTCCCCTCCTGGCAGTATCGACTGTTGATCTGGAACAGGCCCAGGCTGCGCGATCCATTGGGGTTCGTAGTGGTCCGGGTCGTCTCCAGTTCGCTCTCGTGCTCCAGAAGACAGATCCCTGTGGCCGGTGGGGATGTGTTTTAAAAGCCAAGAATATCCACCATTCCATTGGCTCTAGAGCCAATCACTCCCGCATTCTACTTACAGTTGGACAGAAGGCTGCGCTCAAAGCCGTGCCGGTCGAGCAGCTTACGGGCCAGCTCGCAGCGGAGATACCGCTTGGCCAGTGCCCCGGGAGAGACCCACAGCAGACCCAGAACCAGACCCATATAGAACAATGCCAGCGCCGCTGCTCTCATCGTGCGACTGACTCAGAGCTCCAGCTCTGACTCTGACTCTGACTTTGATTCTTATTCTGACTGAGACTTTTGCGTTGGGTTGGCTCTGGCGAGTGTGTGGGGCATCTGATTGCGAGTGTGAACCTGGCCACCTCCGGGTCGGGATGGGGCAGATGCTCAGTGCCCGATAAGCGGACCCGCTTTGTTGGCGTGTTGCCTCTTATGCAACGAAAGGGGAAGCGGGAGGCACTCCAACGCTATAATCTACGATCAAGATCGGGATTTCCCAGAATTCATTTATCACTCCGGAGCTATTTTGCATACGATGAAAGTGTAATAAACGAGTGGAGATATTTTTATTTCGGCTCTATCCGGTTATGCATTCATTCATCTTCCATCCATCATTTTTCTACAATGGCTAATGGTTTTTATACCCTTACCACGGGTACAATGACTTTGAAAGAAAAGTTTTGCATTTATATCCCCTCTCGCCTCGTTCAGAAGTCTCTTTCTTTCCTCTAAGCATGTGCGGCAGCGCCCCTCGGTCCGCCCTGAAAAATCGGTGGTCGGATCAAAGGACTAGGCAGTGTCCTACCCTAAGGCTTTTGCCTAGCTTCGAATGCTATCGAATGGAGCGGCAGCGGCAGCGACATCGGGAAAACACGACTGTATCTCAAATCGTTTCTCTCTTTATTATACATAGAGTCCATGGAAGGTTAGTTATTATTGTAATTGTAATTGTAATTAGATCGATAATTAACCCTATGTGTAATATATGTAAATGGTGTGTTTGTATAATTAATTATGTATGTTTCCCTATGGTAAAAATCTCTCTCGTTGCCGTCTATCGAATTCCTTCCGTTGCTACTAGCTCCGCGACAAATTTCAATTTAATTAATTACTCCGGAATTGTAAATATCTACGATTGTATATATGTTGTGTATTGTATGTATGTATGTATGTATATATAGCCCATTACATATAGAGTAAATATATATATAAAGTATTGTATTGTATTTTAAATATACCGCGATACAAGTTACATTTATTGGCAGAAGCGAGCAATTGGTTGTTGTTTCGTATTCGTATTCGTATTAGATTACTTTACGATATACTAAATAGATCCCCCTACCCCTCCCCTCGCACCCTAGATAGTTTCACTAGATAGTTTACCTCTGGGGTCTGCTTCGATTGTTACTTTTCTTTTTGTTCTTTATGTTCGATTTTCTCGTAACACTAAACACATTATGGTTGTAATTGCTTTTGTTTTTTCGTGGCTTTTTGCTGTCTTGATTGCACTAACTTCGCACCGTCCACTACCCCACCAATCTCACATCTAAGCCACGACACTAAGCTTTTGGTGATGATGATTGGACCACAGACAAAAATTAAACCAACTAACTTAGAACTTAGAACTAATAAACATTGCAATACTCATAATAAACCTCATCCGTTTCTATTTTTTTTTTTTTCTATTTTTCGCCATTTTCTGTGTCGTTTTTGAGTACAAAATATATATATCTTAACATTATTCTATATTTTTTCTGTATTTCCCTTCTACAACATTTTGTTCATAAGCAAGGAGGTCCTACTACAATCTCCCTGCTGCAATCTCTAGAGAACGTTTCCAAAGCTGGCCGACTAAAGCTGGCTCCACTAAAGCCCTTCAACCGCCAAACAATAAACGTGGTTTCGAAATGGTTAAACCTTTTTCGGATCATGATATAAAACAAATGCATTTGGCGTGTGTGTCTCTCTGTGTCGCTGTGATCACTACGTCTACGTCTCGAACTTTACTTTACTTTACTCTACTCTGGCCTTTTAGTGCCTATTTCCACTTTCCAGTGGCTGATCTCTGCCTCTGTTTCTGTTCTTTTTGTCTTACTCCTAAACTTATCGTTGCCGTGCTTCTTACTTTCCCTCTCGATTATAACAAAAAATGCAAATGTTAAAAAAAAAAACGAGGGAGAGAGCTAAAGAAAATATAACAAAAATAGTACAATAGTAAATGGATTTTCCATGTAAAAATTATTTCATAGGACTATCGTATAATGGAACGATGGCTGCTCCTCCATTCCTTCTCTTCCCCTCCGTAGTGCCTAGTAGTAGTCGTTGTCCCTAGGGCCAGTCCTAGGACTGGGCTAGTCCCACTTTCCTTCCCCTTAGTAGATGCGCTCGTAGAAGAGCAGATAGGCCTGGGCCTTGAGCGCCGTGTCCTCGCTAACCTCCTGAACCCGCGAGTCTGATACGTAATACCATTTTCCTGGCGGCGCCTGGACATTGGCAGCCTCCTCCTCCTGCTTATCCTGCTGGCCGGGTCCGAGTCCATTGGGATTGGTATTGAACTCCTCAGAGGTAGATGAATTGCTGCTAGAGTTGGTGAAGTCGTCGCTGTCGTTCATCGAGTTCAAGTGCAGCTCGCGCGCCTTCTCCTTCGCAAGCAACTCTTCCAGCTTCTTCAGCTGATCGTCGTCCTGGTCGAGCTCGGCCTTGCTGCCGTGCGGCAGGAACTTCCAGCGTTTGTCCTCTGGCGTCACCTTGGGCCGCACCTTCACGTAGGCGGTGTAGTGACCGCCGTACATGCCGCCCGAGTGTTCCACCACCCCGTATAGAGCGTACAGTAGTTTCTTCTGCTTGCGATCGATATTGGGCAGATTCTTAACCTTGGACCCGCAGAAGGCGGCAATGTCCAGCATGTTTGGGTAGCTGACCGGCCGCGTCAGCTTTCGGAATATGCAGCGCGGACCCAGCTGGAAGCGCTTCAGGTGTAGGATGAGCACCGCCGGCGGGCTGGACACCAGCAGCTGCTTGGTGGCGTTCGTATTGACCGACTTGGCCTTCGGATCGTTCCCATTCAGACGCTGCGTGCAGCTGTCGCAGCCCACCTTGTTCTGGCCGGTCATCAGCTCGACGGCAGTGAAGCTGTTGAGGCAGGACTGAACAGAGCACTCTCCGTCCTCGCACTGGTACCGCGGCGCTATCGTGGTGCTCCAGTCCGAATAGCTGTACGTTCGCACACGCTTGGCGCGTGCTGCTGCTGCTGCCGCTGCTGCAGCTGCCGCTACTCCTGCCGCCGCTGCTGCTTCTGCCACTCCTTCAGCTGTGGCCGAAGCTGCAGCTGCCGTTGCCGCTGTGGCCTCCAAGGTGTAGTCACTTAAAGCCAGTTGGGTGGCTATCTCCTGCAGCTGGAGCTTAGCAACCTTATCCGTATTCGCCTCTCCCGCCTCTTCTCGGACGACTCCGTTCGGTGGCAGGTCCAAATCAATAGAGATTTGCCGTATGGAGGAGGCTCCCACTGCGCTCACGCCTGCTGTGACTATGTCCGCAGAGGATCGGCCGTCCTCCTTCTTCTGCTCCCGCTGCTGCTGTGGACTTCTGGAGGCCTCATTGTTGTTGGCGGCGGAGGTGGTAGTGGTGGTGGTCGTCGTCGTTTTACTGATGCCGCTGGGCAACGGACTGGTGGCTATGCCTGAGTCTGTGGAATGTGGAAGGAGAATAATTGGATAGAGAATAGGGGATCACCCCCATCGAAGGTCTGCTTACCGTTCTCGTCCTCTTCGAGGGAGTCCTTGTCCATGTTCTCCGGCGTGTCATCCCGCTTCTCGCCCAACGGCTGGGCGTTCCCATTGGTGTCGGTGAAAAACCTGCTGCTGCTGCTGTTGCCTCCTTGCGCGGATGAAGCGGATGATGAGCCGCCGGCGACCCCTCTGGTCTTGGCCCTGTCCCTGGTCGTTGCCGTTTCCTCCACCAGATTATCCTCGATATCGGCGTCTGAATTCTCCGATGTGGTGGAGCTCGAGGATATTAGCTCCTCCTTATGTTGACCCTGGCCATCGCTGGTCGTCTGGCTATCCCCGTCGCCGCCGCCCGTTCCTGTGCCGGCGGCATCCAGCTCATTGTTCGCCTCGGAATCGGCATCTGCGTGGCTGCCCGTTCCGTTCCCATTAAGCTTGAGGGTGAGCTTCTGGGCCTGCTTGTAACGAAGGTGTTTGGCCGCCCGCTTGGCCTTGCGCTCGCGCTCCTTATCCTTTTTCACCTGCGACTTGGACGGACCGACTGTCTCCTGCTGGTTGGCGTGCAGGTAGAACGAGGAGGAGGAGGAGTCCGCCGCGAAGGGGTTGCCATCCTCGGGAGTCGTGAACTTAGTGTTTATCTTGGTCGGGGACTGCAACTGCAACTGGTTCTGGTTCTGGGTCTGCATCTGGCCGCTGATGGGGAAGGGTGAGCTCTCGGGACTGGGCTTGCGCCGCTGCGGTGGCTGGGGCTTCTCGACAGCCACCGGCAGGGACATGTCCAGGAAGTACTCGTGCCGTGACGAGACGCTGTGGCAGTCCTGGCAGGTCAGCGTCGAGACGAGGAAGCCGCGGAAGACCTGCTCCGGGCGCAGGATGCGGTCGCCGGCCTGGTTGCCGTAAATCTTGCACTTCCGCCGCATCTCCTCCGATACGTTTTGGATGTCCTGGTCCTTGTAGCCGAGGTTCTGCAGGATGACGCGCTGATAGCGCTTGAGATCCTCGTTACGTACACTCTCCAGCAACTGCCGCAGCAGCTCGTGGGCGTCGTGCTGGTCCCCGCCCGTAAACTGCGGACACTTGGCGCACAGCTTGTCGAAGAGCTTGCGGGGCGTGAAGACCCCACCACCCACCTGCAGCTCCTCGAGGGCATTGACCAAGGCCGATGTGAGGCTACCCCAGGAGGAGAGGGTACCCCGGATGATCGGCAGTTCGGTGGAGCCCTTGCCCTTGAAGTCGAACGTCCCTCCGGGCAGCACGAATCTGTGGAAGCGATGGAAGAGCGATTCAGTTAGAGATCTTTTCATGGCTCTCCTCTCGCGATCACTTACTCCTCTCCTGGCTCCGACAGCTCGCGGAGGACACTGAGCAGGAACGGGGTCTGGGCGAGGCACTGCATCACGGCATTGAAGAAGCAAGTGTTGCCCAAATTGGTCAGTCCGCGGACGCGCGGCAGTCGCTCAACTTCGCTCTTGGGCGAGTCTGGGGGATTTGGACCGCCGGCGGTGGAGTCGGTCCCCGTGGCCATGCCTCGAA